CGCTTGGTGATGTGAGAGCCTGGTCCGGTGAGAACCCGGCGTGCTCCGTCCCGGCTTTGTAGGGATGCGAGGTCAATGGTCTAACGACTACGGCATGCACGAGTATGAGTACACCCCCACCCCAGGGCATTACCTGTGCATTTTACAAGGCTCCCCCCGCCCCCACCCACCCCCGACCTTGATTGAATTCGTCCTCGGAGTGTAACCAAAGATGTCCCACCAGCACCGTCTTTGAAGAGGGCTTGTGGGGTTCACACACGTGCGGTAGTGCTTGTATTGTAAATAGGACATCAGCATCAACACAACAGTTGGTGTAGAGGCGTCGGATATCATGGCAATTGAGGCGAGTGGAATGGCAAACACGCCGGCGTACCTCTGCAAAAGGTAGACGTGGGCGCCGTTATTTTTGTTCATCTTCTGGCCTCTCTGGTCAAAGTGTAAACAACGTGCCCCCTTTGGTCCCATGACTGCCCGCGCCACGGTATTGATATTGCACTGCTTCTGTATCTGGTGAGGTGTCCAAGGCCGGAAGCAGCCACTCGTCTCTCAACCCGCTCACGCACACCCAAACGATCTCGGCATGACCTGTATGCCTGATCCCCCAACCCCAGCCTGCCATTACACATTCGATATACAATAAAGTCCAAGTACACGCATTTGGTAGTCGCGACCCCCACGGTTCTATCGTCAGTTTTGCCCGGAGGCAATAGTAACTCTGCAGCGTGGTAGTTTGCGCCCCCTAGTGTCCGCAGGCAACATAGTCGCTATCACAGGGCAGGTCGCTATTGCCAGTATGTACAGGGCGGCTCTTCATCGGCGTGCGGCGGTGCCACGAGATTCTGTGGTTGCCGCATAGTGCATGGTCGCTACACAGCATGTCGCTGAACCGGGCACACCAGTGCTGTAAGTGCTACTCCCGCGCCGCCGTTGTCTGTGACAAACTCTTGCAGGATGTTGACAGCGACAGCCGTCGCGAGCGCAGCAGGAGCCGCGAGCGCAGGCGCCGACGGTCGCGCAGCGACTCGAGGGAGAGGTGCGTGCCGTATGCTGCTGACGTGTGTCGGGCTGGTGGGAATGAGGGAGTTCACTGTTGTGGGGATCGGTGTGGTGTTTGCAAGAACTTGCGTTGTCGTTGTTGTTACCGCTGCCTGCCTGCTTGCCTACCTGCCGGCCTGCCTGCCTGTCCGCCTGCCGCGTTTTGGACGAATACATTCCTCGTGTCCAGATTCTTGACGACAGCCGGCGGTGCCGACAAGCTTAACGAGTGATGCAGCTTCGGAATTCTCTCTGTATTCTCACGTGCAAGCCTCCTATATACATAACACATACATGCACGCATCCCACCGCAAGTGGCGAGGTTGTGTCGATGCAACCTTGCTGAGTCTCAATCGACAAGACGGGTTTTTTAACGACGTTGGTGTCTTCATCTTGGTGTGTACCTTCGGGGCTCGGGTGAGAAGGCTAAATGCCGGTTAGGCGTGGCAGGCAGGCCTGCTGGAGGTCGGTCCTTTTAGCGTGAAAAAGTCCGTCCCCCCTTTGTCGTTGGCCTGCATACTGGACGCGTATCTGTGTGTGGATGACAGCTACGTTGATGGAAGTGTAGGATCCGTGCGGACACGTTCGGAAGTGTAGGAAGCAGGGGCCCTTAGGAAACGTTCGGAGAAAACTATGGGAACTCGGGAGAGCACTGATGGATGCAAGGATCTTGGTCC